ATTTGCTCTGAACTTTTTGTTTTGATTCATTCCAATGATCATAATCGGTGTGTGGCGTGAGTATATCAGAGAGTGAGATGAAGTTTGATTGCGAGATTGGAATTTTTTTGGACGAAGACGCGAAAGCGAAGTTCCTGGTTCAGTCCGGTGCACCCGCACCCACTATACAACAACCTTCCGAGAAACCAACGAAACGTCTATTGTGGTAACTGTTGCTCTTTCTCCAATCTTCTTCGCTCTCGTCATCTTCCTTTTCCCTTCAGAACCTTACAGATCGATTCTCTTCTGGTTCATACTATCACTTCTCCTTGGGCCGTTCGCTCCTAGCTCAATCACCGGTGGTGATTTCCGCATCGGTCGTGGTCTTGCCGTTAAACTTCCCTGATCAGAAAGCATCAATTGATGTTGATGATGTTAGTAAAAGATCTATGCAACACCAACCTAAGCTGCGTAGGTCGAAGGGTGTTGCGTCAGTGGTTCTTCCGGCGCTGGTAATTTCAGACTGAGGTGCTTTGAAGATTGGAATTGGAAGTGAAAGCGGAAACGTTGTTGCATTGACGGTGATGAAGAGGAAAGTGAGGGGTTTGGATTTCTGATTTCTTTTTAGGGTTTTGTTAGTTTTAGGTTTAAGTGTGGGTCGGTCTTCTTTTAGGTCCACCTTTTTGTTTTCTTCTCATTCACCACTCTGACCCCTTTGCACCCCCTCTCTCTAGTTTTTAGTAATTAGTTTAGATTAATTTGGTATTAATTTAGTAATTAGTTTAGTTTTAATTTAGGTAATTTAATTTAGAAATTGGATTTTATTTAACTAGGATTTAGTTAGATTTTATTTGGTTTACTTTTAATTAATTTTAGTTTTATATTTAGATTTTAATTTTAATTTTAAGTTAGATTAGAAGCTTTTTTTTCATTCACTTAGGATTTAATTAATTTAGGATTATATTAGAGTTTAAATTTATCTTTATGTAGAATTAGATTAGAACCTAATTTTTGAATTAACATAGGATTAGACTTTTGGTTTCAATTTTGATTTACTTAACCCTTTCAATTTTGTATTAATTCTTAATTCTTGAATGTGTTTGTAAATATACTTGTATATACTTTCCATAAATTCTAATTGGAGTTTAATACTTGACGTTGTCTGTGATTGCGATGTTTCGTGTTTACTTGCCGTTTATCTCCTGTTTTCACATGATCCTCTAGGATTCCTAGCTCGACTTAATTTTCAATTAAGTTAGAGGTAGGAGAGACATTAGGCTTTCAATCTAAGCATGACAACATTAGGTAGATTTCTTCCTAATCCTGATTTTAGGTCCACTTTGTATGATAACAGTTAGGATTCGGTTTCCCCTAGACCTTTCGTGCGTCTCTCTTTTCTCATCTCAAATTCCTTCAAGGCACTTAATAAAGAATGATAAACGTCGTACGCTACGAGCCTTAAGTACATGGGGAATGATGAGTGGGGGGTTTCTCCTTGCTTGTCTAGAGTGTTTAGCGTATGCCCTTTGGGCGATATGCGATGCATTCGCTCTCGTGTCATAGTCTTTAGTGCTACTAACTCTCAAACTAACTCAAGTCACTTCTCTAAAACTAACAAACCAAATTCAAATTTTTTTATCCTTCGAGATTTCTTTTCAAACTTCATTTTCAGAAAAGAGTACGTTGTTTTTTCCGTTCTACCGCAAACAGGCATCGTCCCTAACTGCTGGAATGAAAGTTTAACGTCGCTCATAAAAAATACTTAACCAACCTGTGGTTTCGTAATTACCCGAACTACGTTTTCTCTGATTTCTCATACCAGACGAGGATACGTAGGCTCAAGACGGCGATGTCTTGGCGAGAAACCTTCCCCTCATCACCCGTAGTTTTCCGAACTACGTTGACTCTAACTTTCCCATTGCACGAGGGAATACATAGGCATAAGGCGACGATGTCCTATCGAGTCTCTTTTTTATTTTTCCATCCCCATTTAGCAGTAGCTTTTAGATAACTCACCATTTGATTTGACAACAAGCGTGGATCCCGTTGAGCACAACGGACGTGAGGGGTGCTAATACCATCCCCTTGCGTAACCAACTCCTGAACCCGAGATTTGGTTGCGATTACCTTGTCTTTTCCCGTTCTTCAGGTTTTCTTCGATCATTTCCTTTCCCTCTCTTTGGGATAAATAACATTCGGTGACGACTCTTATGTTTGTTTCCGCCGGCCCTTTTTCGCAGTTGCGACAACGCCATCTACGACCTAGGCTCCTTCGACTTCGACACCTGCTTCCCCGCACTACCTACTATCGTATATCCTCGGGACATTCATCTATATCCCTGGGGAATTCATTCAGACCTATCATATGTCTCCGGAGTACTCATCCAGACATATCATATGTCTCTGGGGTACTCATCCAGCCCTATCATATGTCCCCGGGTAGTCCATCTAGAACTACTATGCATCTTCGGGAGCGTCATCCTAGGTCCGCCCTTGGTCAAGGGAATCCCGCCGTAATCGTCGGAAAACACGCAGCCTCCTCGGGACACTCATCGTGTCCGCCGCAGGAGTTGCTGGAAAATAAAGAAACAAAAGGAATGAAAGAACAAATTTACTTGGTACAGTAGTTTGAGTAGAGATACGGTGGACTTCACAGCAGACGGTGCGGAGGCAGTGATTGCACGGCGACATAGACGATGGGGAAGCAAGAAAGAGTTTGTTCGTTAGAGTTAGGAGCGAAAAGGGACAAAGGGGCAGACCCCAGCCTATTTATAAGCGTAGTACGGAAATCGAAGCGCCCCTACAACTAGCCGCCCTAGGAGGGACAATGGACGTCTGACACGTGACATATTAAATGAGAGTGATTTTAAATAAGAGATGACAGGAACAAATAACAACTATTGATTAAATTAATAAGAGAGATGGAATGCATGTTAATAAGAGAGAGAGAGAGAGAGAGAGAGAGAGAGAGAGAGAGAGAGAGAGAGAGAGAGAGAGAGAGAGAGAGAGAGAGAGAGAGAGAGAGAAATTAATAGTCGCATTAATAAGTAAATTTAATCATAACTTTTTGACTAGTCTAATATATATATATATATATATATATATATATATATATATATATATATATATATAGCAATCCATTAAAAAAATTAAACAATAGAAGTAGTGATGGCTTTTGACTTAGTATGAGTTACTTCCTTTTTTCGGATTAAATTGACTAAAAATTACTTCAATTTATAAAACAGTTGTTAGAGTCATTGAATTATTGATTGCATGAAACAAAAGTGAGTCAAATTTATTTTGCAGTTTTAATTTAAATATAATTAGTCACCAAATCTCTTAACTTAATTTAATATTTTGCTTTATTCTTTAACTAATATAATGTTACACTTTGATTTCTTAAAATTAGTTTTGTTAGTATTATTGGTCTCTTCCGTTAATTTTTCTAAAAATATATTAATTGTTGCCAACTGGCATGATAACTAGGAAATTAGTATAGTACTGACTCAACGAAATAATTTTAAAATGTTTGTTAGGGTTTTTTAATCATATATTTTTCAAGTTGTGTTTCATCGTATTCAAGGGTAATCGCTTTCGTCATCTTTGTCAAGCGTTTAATCATCTATTTTCATGTTGCATTTCATCGTATCCAAGTTTCAAATGTAATCGCTTTCGTCATCTTTGTCTTCTTCACCGTTCCAACTTTCAAACGTACGCAATGAAGAGTTTCAGAGAAGAGTAAGCTAGGGTTCATAAACAGTGATGAGTTGTAAATGTTATTTCTAAAGTTGGAAATGTTATTGATAATTTAAATCAAAATAGTTAGATTAATAAAATTAAAAAAAGCAAACAAAAAACATTGTCAGATTTTAAAAATCATCAAAAATGTCGAGTCAAATTTTAAAAAGCATCAAAACTGCGAAGTCAGATTTTAAAAAGATATCAAAATTATCACGTAGGTGATATTTAACGTTTTTTTTTTAAGATAATTAATTAAAAAGGTTTTAACATACTAGAATGGAACTAAATTTTTTTAATTTAGTGACTAAAATAAAATAATAAATTAAATTAAAGGAAAATAAATTAATTAACCTTTTATTAAAATGAAGTAACTTACGACACGTAGAAATTAAGCCTTTCATTGCATTAGTTGAAATTAGTTGAGATAGTCATGTAATGCATACATTTTATGGGTAGAAATTAAGCCTTTCATTACATTAGTTGAAATTAGTTGAGTTAGTCATGTTGAGATAGTCATGCATACATTTTATGAGTACATGTCATGTAATACTTAATAGCAAGTTAGTTAGCAAATGCATTTACCTTTACTACTTGTATTTTATGAGTCTTTAGAGTGTCCGAAGGTTAGTCTATAAATATGAAACTTTAAAATTGAAAAAAAAAATGTGTTTTTAATAAAATATAAATTTCAACTTATTGATTATGGTTAAATTATTTTCATAATTAAATTCTTGAATTATATTGTTATAGGGTACTCTTTAGAACATTAAAATAATTTTTTTTTAAACGTGGGAATTTAATATTTTAAAAATTAAAATGATTAACTTTTTTATAAAGAAAAATTATTTAGAATTTTTAAAGAGTTCTCTTAAAACACTCTTGTCTCGTTGGAATTGATGTTAAGAAATAAATAGAAATTAGGTTTCCTGACGGCTGGTTAACAAGTTAATTTTATTCTCAGTAATATTTTTAAATTTTTAAATTTTGTCAATGTGTTGTGTTTGAAGTTAGAATGAAAATAAGGAAACTATATGAACAAAGAAATAACCAATTTCTTGTCAGATAAAATGTGTTCACAATGCACAACCGAAGAGATTCAACTTAAACTCAAACCAGGTTCGCACAACCGAAAAATTTCAAGTTAAACTCATTCGAACAATTAAAAAGCTTCAACTTAAACTCAACAAGTTTATTCTTGAAATGAACGAGAAGTGCCATACTATACTGGAATAACCAGGGCACCATTTATTCCATTCAAACTAGGAATAAAATAAGTAATATCAAGTTTTGAAAGTCTCTCCAGCTTTTACCATATCTTCAAGTACCTTTGAAATTTGCGGCTCTGTCATACCTTCCAGTTTAATACCTTTTTCAACGCCCAAATCTGGTATTAATGAACAAATTACATATCAAACATAGAACCAATAATGTACAAAATAATGAGAATGAAAATGCCAACAGAATTGTAAGGTAATTGACTATAGAAAAATTAATAAAAAGTAACAATGGCATTGCAACAAAATTGACATTATAATATGCGCATCTTATACTCTTTTTTCTTAATACAGGTTATAAGAGCAAAGTTCTAGTTCTTCTAGCTGAATTTCAGATTTTGTGCAGTGTATTGATACTGTTGATTAGTATATTTTCAATGACAATGTGAGGTTATAAGAGCAAATTTCTAGTTCTTCTAGCTGAATTTCAGATTTTGTGCAATGTATTGATACTGTTGATTAGTATATTTTCAATGACAATGTGTTAGTGTTAATTTTCTAAAAATCACTGTTATGAAATCAAGGAAAAATTCATGTCAAAGATAATATAGAAATTTAATGCAAAGTAGATGGCAAGAAATTTGAATAAAAATTGATAGAAATTGAAATAGGATGGTGTGATACCATATCTTGCCCATAATTGGGGTTCAACTCCACTGCATTCACGGATCAATATTGGCAATTTTGGGTTCAATGTCTTTAGCTCTTTGTAATTCTTTTCAACAAATGTCCTAAGAGAACAAAAAAAAATATTATTATTATAAGAGCTCATATTCAAATATGTATGAGATTCTGTCAAAAAGCAAACAAAAGATATACCAAAGATACACCTTTTAAATTTCGGTCCGAAAAAATGAAAAAAAAATATATATATCTAACCTTGCGGATGAGCTTGCAGGTGATGTCTGACACATCAAAAATCGAAGCTCTTTTATGTTCTTTGAAAGATATCCTCTCCATGCCATTGCTTTCCTGGATAAAAGTTATAATATTTTACCTCATCACAAGGCATGGAGAAAAGGAGGTAAAGACTAACAATGCAAGATAAACAACCACGGGCAGCTAGTGGTAGTCTGACTGGAAAAGCAAACATCTAAACCCTACTCTACATCAGCTTTGGTGCACTCCATTACATTCAATCATAGAAAATCATATTATAGATTGAAAAGTGCATTGTATTATTCAGTAATGATAATGAAGAAAATTGTAAAAGGATAGTCCTCCGAGAACTCACGCCTAAGCATATGCTTCACATAGAGGCACTCCTCTGTTCAACAAGTTAAATAAACCCCGTCATACCGTTGGTCGCCAGTTATTTAAGGGGTATCAATATTTGACCTTTTTGTGGTTGTTAACATAGACACCTCCTTCGGTATCAGCCTTGTCCTCAAGTCTAAAACTTCAAAGTTGATTTCAATGGTAGATGATGTTTCCCATGAAGAACCCTGCGCTGGATAATTTTTCCAATGAAGTAGCCACAATTTGACCAGTTTGCCCTTATGCTTAATAGCTTATGAGTTGATCACTGCTAGTGGTTCAGTCAGTGATACTAAGGGACTACCACAATTGCAAAGATGCAGGGAAATCGGTCTCTAGAAGTGACAGATTATATGTGACCTTGTCAATCTTTTTAAACAATTTCAAAAGAGCAATAATAATTTTTTAAACACTCTTCTATTCCAAATGGGTCACTCTTTGAAATAATTTCATATGGCAGTAATCAAAAGTAAAAACAACTATCATGCGGTTCTGCCATGGTCACAATCTAACGATACTGATAAAGCTAGAATCCATATTACCGACTATAGAATTGAATATCCCATGCAAGTGCAACCAATTTGATATCCTTTAAAAGACATCAACTATGTGTTTAGCAGTAAAAGTATTCCTAAAGCAAATTAAACAAGCATAATTTGAGCAAATAGTAGTCGTAACTCATTATCTCATTTTCATTTATTTTAATAGTAAAGCCCAATACTATGTTATAGGAAGAAACTAACACCTATTTAATCATATTCATGTTACAAACAAAATCAGAAATGGGAAATAGACTTGACAACAAAAAGTTGTAAGACTCGGTGCTCTATGTCAAATATAGCCAACTACTCAAGCAAGGACGAAAAAAATTATTATGAATAACTTATTTCCAGGAACATGCTAAGGTTATGCTGACTGAATCTTAAAACATGAAATCTTCAAAAAAAAAACAGAATCTAGAGTTCATTGAGCTTTCAATTAAGTTAATTTAAACTAAACCCTGTATTTTTTTTTTTTCAGGATACAAGTAACACTACCCACTAAGACCTAGCAAAAGTTATATTATTCACAAAAATCGAACCTCTCAACAACACCAAAACTAAACCTAGTTGCTTATTATTGTTCACGAAAATGAATCGAATCATGAGAAAATCAATTTCAACACTTTCCGAAAAAAACGAGAAGGAAACAAAAGAACAAATCGCGATGTAATCGAAGAATGATGGGAAAGAAAATCGAGAAGAAAATATCCGGACAAATTTCTTTGTTGCCTGCTGTTTCCGATCAGTTGAGTGCAGTTCGATTGAAACAACGGTAATGCTGAGTTTGTTGTTAAGAATTTTTTTTTTTTATCACACTCAAATATGTTTTTATTTTATTTATTTTTTTATAATGTTGGAACATAATAAAACTAATATATTTATTAGTCAAAAATATTTCTAAATGGTTTTTCTTTTCTTTGGTGTATGAAGGTAATTGATGAAATTAAATTATCATGTTAATATGTTTGATGTAAGTGTGTAATTTATCTCAAAAATTATAAAAGATTTTAAAACCAATTCATCAAATTAATATATACACAAACTAATCCATATTAGTACAAATATTTATTATGAGTAATTATTTTAGCCATCTCAAACTTTTAAGAGATCCCGTATAAAAAGTTAAAATTATTTTTAGTTGAGTCGTAAAATTTTGTTAAAAAATTTTATTTAATCGTAAATTGACTTTGAAAAATATGTATAGAGACCATTTTTACTAAGCTTTGTTTAACAACTTCCTCCAAGACATTATAGACTCACTTTATTCAACTCAGCTTTGTTTAACAACTTTGAGGAGGATAACTTACCTAATCCTTTCAATTTTCCTTTTTGCAAGAGCAAAATCAACATTCAAATTCAACACATCTTATAAGGTGTTACAAAGTTCACCTTTATGTGGTTATAAGAAGTGATTACCAAGTTCATAATAATAAGATATTTTGTAACAACTTGCTATTGAATCATTTCCAAACTAAAATAGACAAGTTCACCATTGACTTGAACACACAATGACTCAACTCAAGTGCCATAAATTCATCGGAATATATGTATATATAATCAATCTCTTATAGATCTTTGAATAAATACAGTTAAATTGAATAGTAAGATCATAACAGTAATGCCACATAAGGCTAAATAAAAGGAAAAATCACAATCTTGCAAGCAAATAATTGTCTTTTTGCTGAGCACATTCGAATACCGGGAAGAAGAAAAAAAGGGCACATAGTTATATGACAGATGCAATTCAATGATATGTCTTCCCGCAAGGAAAGAGAATCTTGGATATTTACAAATGCTACACAAACCACATGATGATTCACAACACTATTTTCACTTTCTTTACTTTTCACAAAATAACACTTCAAACTTTCCGACAAAATCATTTTCTTCCCCAAGCAAAGCAGCAACACTGAAGAAGCAAAGAGTACAAAGATAATCATCAGTACAACGAAAACTTCAGAATTATCGATCTGCCAATGTTTTAAAAACCAGAGCGAACAAACCGGTTTCTGATTAACCGGAATTGAAACAGTTCAACAATAGTGGTTCAAGCTTTTGAAACACTTTTATTTATTTATTTTGGTTGAACCTGACACAGAGGTTTCACCAATTCGATTTCTAGTCGTGTTTTTAAAACATTAACTACAGGCATACCTGGACTTTGCCATTGGAAGGTTGGTTGCGGATAACATGTGGCCTCTCGTTAGGTGTGCCAGGTGCATGTCCGGGTCCACCCTGTCTCTCTGCTCTCACCTTGTTGAAAATGTGAGTATAGCCCTCGGCTGATGCAGGATTACTCACATTCCATTCACCGAATTTTGGAACGGCCGCGCCTTTCTCAGGCTGCAACATCACAATGCTAAAATCAGAATATATTTGAAATATAAAATTTCATAAAGATATGCACATTTTTACTCTTCGTGTCATGCTGGTAATAAAATAGGATAGCAGGAAAGAAAACTAACGGTTTCATCCCCTCGATTAACCGGTCTTAGCCGAGATCTTCCTGGTGTACCATGGCTGCTGTCATAGGAATTCTTTGCTTTCAATGAGGGATTATCTTTTCCCGGAGCTTTGACCTGACGATGAAGGGGTGATCGTTCAATGCTGTACTCAGACCCAGTAGTACTTTGTCTTGAAGGTCTTCGTCGGTTATCAGCAGAACCTACTCCAAGACGAGGTGTAGAGTCATTGGAACTCCGACTGCCTACATTGTCATGACGAGCTGGAGAGTCAGCATATTGCTTAGGATCACCATCTTCGAGACTCTTATGTGACTCAATTGTTGCTTGTGACGATCCCTTTCCATATAGATCCTCTGAATCGACTCTAGGTTTGGATTTGGACGGAGGTAGTTGCTCAGACGATGAATTATCAAGAACTAAATCAGGATTTTCCTCAGGGTCATTTGGGTTTATCATCTTTGTGCCAGTTCGACCTTTCCTTGCTTTGTCGAAATATGCCGTATAAGGAACATTGTCACTACCCTCCCAATTGCCAAATTTTTGGTACATGAGTACGCTGCTGCCAAATTCACACATTGAAAAGATTCTGTTAAGTAGATTTTCAATAAAATCGGTGCCAGAAGAATACAAGTTCCAGACACTAATGATTTTCTTTTAACATTGTATCAGAGTCAGGTTAAGAAGAAAGTCATTGTGAAAATTGTGGCTACTGAAGTTGTATGTTAACAATGCAAAATTCAGTATATACCACCAAAGTGAAAAAACTATCTCTAAGAATTTGCGGATTATGATTTTACTAAAAAAGAAGAAAAGACCGGAGTGAAAGTACAACTCAACTAGCATCTTGTTTTGACAAATTTTGATTCAATCAAAAACTAAAGGTAATAAGTAACACACTTCCAATTACAATTATGACTATTAATTATCAACTAGGTAAGGGATTCATACTTTAGGAAAACTAAGTAAAAACTCTATTAAGTATTCACAAGGCTAAGCTAAATTAGAAACATATAGGACAGACACACCTCGAACACGACCTAATAGAGACACGGTGACATCAATAATAATTTTTAAAAAATGAATAAATTAAATTTAATCACAAGAGTCAGTGCTCTGGTGTTCACACGAACACAGACACTCCTTTTTTCAAATGTGTCGGTGCAACATAGTAAGAAACTCAGCATGATTTAAACTATGAAACTAGCATATTGATAAAAACCTAGAAAATTAACAGAATATGATTCTAATTCTAATTGAATTGCTTTACGATTCTAAGAAACCAAAAAAAAAAACAAGTTGACCAAAAGAAATTAAAGTCTAATTTTGGTCAACTATTTCAAAGCAATGGAAGATGAAAAAAACCTCACATGACATCAAAAAAATATACATAAAAGAAGATAAACATACACAATTTTCTCAGTAATCATAGGCACATAGCACATAACAAAAGCATGAAAACAACAAAATTTACAAAAGAGAATGAAAAGGAGAAAAAACTTACTGCCATTTACTTTCTAGGTTGAAAAGGCACCAAGAACTTGAAAAGCAAAAATCTCCAAAAAGAAACTTAAAAAATTGAGCTTTTTTGGACCATTTGAGTAGAAGTAAAAAACTTAGAGAACCCAAAAAGCTCCTCCACAAAATTGAATGACCAAGCAAGAGAGAAGTTTAGAAAGAGGTTTATCAACCGTTGACCGGCGCCACCAGTAATGTTTGACTATTATTTTTATTTTTTTTCTGTCATTTCCATGTCAAAGTCATGCAGAGCAATAAGTTTTTTATATTAAAAATTAAAAACTTGACTAATTATATTTTCAAAATTTTGAATAAATGATAGTAGTAATATTTTCATAAAAATAGGATATTTTTTATGCGTAATTACAGAAATTAATTCCTCAAATTATGATTTTACAATATATGGCAAAGTTTTTTTTTTAATTTAAAAATGTTATGTGTCAATAACTGAGCTTGAGATCAGGATCTTTAATTAAGAAAAGATTTAGATAAAATATAATTATACATTTTATGATAAAGTTAAATAATGTTAACTTACATTCTTAATTAGGTATTTAATCTCCCTAACTAGCTAGTTCACGAGTTGAGCAATGTATATTGGGCTTGGAGTTTTTTTTGCATAGTTGTTTATTTATTTTTATAAAATGCATGGTTGTTTTTTAATAATAGTTTTGCATAGTTGAATAATAATGTGAACGTTTTGGTGGTTGGAAATTCATGGCAAGTTGGTGGATTTATATCGTCATTTTAAAACATGACGTAAGTAATGGTAAAAATAAAATAAAATATAAAGAAAATCGTGGCATATTAAAGTTTTTGGACATCTTCAGTGCCATCAATCACTGTCAAGTACGCAGAGTATTTAGTTTTCTATAGAAAAGTACATGAAGTATAGAGAAATAATAATTGAAAACTGTAAAAAATTATTGGGACAACGATCCGATGCGGTGGTTTTTTTTTTTTTTTAATGTATGGATATATTTATAAATCTCTAATATATATATATATATATATATATATATATATATATATATATATATATATATATATATATATATATATATATATATATTATTAAAAAATTAATAAAGTTGAATATATAAAAAAAAAAACTATAGGTAGGGATGGTAAAAAGGCATATTCACCCTATTTAGGTTCGTCTTATAAAAACTCACAAAAAATTTGGGGTGGCAGAATGAACATTGTTGAGGGTGTTGATCTAAAATTTTGTCCACCTAAAAAAAACTAAGGGCGGAATGGGTCCGCGGGCATTATATATGTTAATCTTAAAAATTATAAAATTTATGTAAATGCTCACGTCAAAATTTTGCAAAAGAAATAAGACGGAATAGCGCGAACATACTAAATGGTATACCTAAAACCTTATTCCATTCTACAAAAAAAGTGCGGGAAAAACACATATGTGACAGAGTCTGTTTTGTCACTCCTAATTATAGCACTCTTTTTAATGAAAAGAAAGTCTAAAG